CCTGGCTGGCTCAGTCAGTGGAGCATGTGACTCTTGATTTTGGGGTTGTGAGTTCAAGCCCCACTTTGGGTGTAGAAATTACTTAAAAAAATAAAATCGTTAAAAAAAAAGGTAATGATATAATTTCATTGACACTGAAATGAAAAAATATCCAATTCACAATGTAAAAGGAAAATATCCTTTAATGGTTTGTATGATTTAATTCTTTTTGTATAAAAAAAGTACACTTATAAATAATGTACAGAAGCAAAAATATTTGTATATACAGAGAAAATATCTCAAAGGATACATACTAAGTTGTTACTAGTGGTTTTCTCTCTTATGCCTGGGATTGATGAGGAAGGAAAGAAGAGAAAGGGCAAACAGAAGACTTCTTTTAAAATTTCAAAACACCTGTACTACTTCTTTTCCCAAACAGCAAACATGGATTACTTAGGAAACTTTTAAAAATGTCTTTCAAGGGGTGCCTCACTGGCTCAGTAGGAGGACCATGTGACCCTTGATCTCGGGTTCATGAGCTCAAGTCCCACACTGGGCACAGAGATTAGATAAATAAAACTTTTAAAAAAAAATGTGTTTCAAAAGTGCAAATGGGTTTTGAGTTTACGTATAGCTTGGATCTGGGATAATATCTTTCCAGGCCTCTTCTTATCAGGAAACATAGAAATGGCCCCAAATATTGAGCTACATATTATAATGACATTCCTTAAAAAGAAATTCCATTCGCATTACAATTAACAGAGGGCCATAATACAAAGCTAGCATATTTAGGGTATCTTTAAGCTATACTTCAATGACATTCTATCATGTAAAATAAAGTCTAATGTGGTTTGCAAAGCCTTCCAGGATTGAGTCAACCCTAAGCTTCTCCAAGTTTAATATTCATGCGACTTACCTGTAATTCCTGTTAAAATACAGATTCAGATCCAGGAGTCTGTGATGGGGTCTTTTCTAAAAGTTCTGCAGACCACACTCAGGAGCAAGGATCTAGTCTTGATACCACACCATTCACAACACTTTAATTTAGTGAATTACTGCTCTTCCACACGCACCATGTTGTTCATAACTCTGTCCTTTTTCTGTCTTATTCTTCTTCAGAAATGGTTTTCCCTTCACCTCTACTTCAAAAACTTTTATTCTTTGTTACTGTTTTAGTCCAAATGTCACAAATATTTCAGGCACATGTAGATGCTACTTCTTTTGCATTCCAAGATCCCTATACATTTATGTTCAACTTATCACATTTGTTATTTACATGTCCATCTCCCTATGAGACAATGAGTTTGAGGATAGAAAATATCTATCTTCAGCACACAGATATTCAATAAATGTTTTCTGAGTCCAAGTCATTAAGGCATCAATGCCACCATCTTTGAAATCATGGTGTCACAATCACTTTTATTCTGTAACATTTTCTTTGAAGTAATATTCAGCAAAAAATACTACCCAATTATTGAAGGTAATCTCTAAAGTATAAAACAACATTCACTTTCAAAATTAAAGTAAAATATAACACAATTTGATGAGATGTTTATGTTAATGGTGGAAGAAAGTCACCTTAATTTCACTCTATTTTGGGGTAAAAAGGACAAAACAAAGATTGTACCCTTTGATATTCTTTTCATTTAAGTACTTGAAGCAAAATTAAAATGGCATCAAATTTCTAATTTACCTAATAGTCCTAATTTAATTAATTAGGACCTTTACTATATTTTAAAAATAAATGACAAAAAATAAATAAAATCTAAAAAAAAAAAATGACAAAATAGTATCTTAAATCAAATGCTTACACACATAGCCCTCTCTTTATCACTCACCTTCCTCATCTATCCATTTCATGGTGAAAAGCTGTTCGTTGTCAAAGGAACACATATCTCGAACCTCATTGCAAAGGCCCTCAAAGGAGATTGAAGGTTCAAAATGTGTTATCATGATATCCCTGAAAAAGAAAAAGAGTTTTAAGTTTGAAGATGACTGAAACTAATGATGCTCTCCATACTACTAAATGCCTGACAATCCGAAGAATGTCAGATATTTTGTGAGTACATCATTGCATTGCTTCCAGTAAACGATCCCTGTAAAGTTAAAAAAAAAAAATCCGTATTAATAATGTTTAAAAATAAAAATAGTGGAATGTTAACTAAATTGAATTTAAATAAAAAAAATTAAAAGTAAAAAAATAAAAATAGTGGATTTGTGAAAAACTTTAATTCAATCTCCCTCTTCCTTCAGGAAGCCCACCCTAACTGCTCTGATGGTCATCCCACTTTGCTTTAATATTAGTTTTCAGAAGTGCACTCTTTTGTGAGGCACTGAACTCCACAGATGAATAGCTCAGTTATTGATTAGCTTCTGCCTTATATTTAACTGAAATCTGTTCCAATCGCTGGTCCCAGATCTCCCCTCCTTAAGAAGTCTACCCTTCGTCTAAGAGATGGCTCTTCAATAACTGGACAAAGATCTGATATGTCCTCTTCCTCAGCCCTCACTTCCACAGATTAACCACCCATAAGACTGTCACCCATTCTTTGTACAGCATGATTTTTAGACCTCACACCTTCATTTTCACCTTTTCCCAAAAAACTCCCATTTGCCACATTGGTTTTATAATATGACTAATATTTTAAGGTAGATACCCAAAATACATAGGAATAGACATAAATGTGTATTTGTTTGTTTTATTGTAAAATAAGCAACAGTATTCAAATAAATCTATCTAGCAGCTACTCACTATAAAACTTAAAATTGTAACAAAATGGTTTTTTTTTAAGATTTTTTATTTATTTATTTGACAGAGAGAGACACAGGGAGAGAGGGAACACAAGCAGGGGGAGTGGGAGAGGGAGAAGCAGGCTTCCCGCCGAGCAGGGAGCCCGACGCGGGGCTCGATCCCAGGACCTGGAATCATGACCTGAACCGAAGGCAGACGCTTAACGACTGAGCCACCCAGGCGCCCCAAATGTTTTAGAGCAGAGGCCTGGGGTTTCCTCGAAGGAGCCAGGAGAAGGTTCCCTATGATCTAATCTCTGCCCAGTAGCCAGCTACAGTATCATTTCAAACGTAAGTCAGATAGACTGAATGACTCTAATTTAACAAACTCTTACAGAGTGATCTCTAGGTGTCAGACTGTTCTAACGGTTTTACAAAGATAATGTAGTTCATATCCTTCCTGTTTTAAACTCTTCAGGTGCCTTTCTTTCCCATGCAGAGTAAAATCCAAAGTCCCTAGCAGGGTCTACCAGGCCCTGACTACCTCTCTGACCAACCTCTTCTACTACTTCAACAGGTAAACCAATGTTTATAGTCTACCATCTACCCCAGCTAGAATGTAAGTTTGGTGAAAGTAGGGATTTTGTTTTGTCCATTACATTCCTAGTGGCCAACACAGCGCCTAGACACAGTGTCTGGCACAGAATGGATTCTTGACAAATACTCACTGAAGAAAGGAAGGAACTGTGAACAGACATGGGTAGCTAGAACACAGAACACAGAGTGGGAAATAAGGAATTTAGAATTTTAAGTCATCTGTAAAAAAAGAAAAGTTAAAAAACTATAGTCTTTAGGGGCTGTCAAAGGTAAATAGAGAGCAGAACAGGAAAATTGGCCTTTTCTTGATAATCATTCTAAGCATCTCATAGCTTTCTGCCCCTGCCTCAGAACTCTCTTGCCTTGGCTTTCATAATAGTATGTTGCCCTGGCTCTCTGTCTGCTTTTCTGAACTCAAGTCTCCTTCGGTTTTCAATCACAAGATACTCTTTACACCCTCGCTCACATTCATTCTGACACTCTTCCTTTCTCTCTAAACCTAATTCACATTCAATGTTTTAACTACTATCTCTGTGTAGGGGTCTTCTAAATCTGTAATTCTAGCTCTCTGTGTGGTATTTAAGTCTTTTGATAATCTGGTTCTATTTTCAAGTTGAACCCACCACTCCCAAAACAAATACTCTTCTACAGACATCTGGTTTACTCAACCTCCACACACAAGACCTTGATGATCCAAGTTTTAATTCTGACCTTTCCGCAATTCAAGGCCCAGTTTATATAGGGAGGTGGGGATCAATTCTTTAAGAAGTGCTTCAACACCAACTTCCATTAAACCTCTTTCAACCACACAAGCCCAGTGGTCTATACTTATAAACCTGCCCAACACGTATCTTATGTTCCATTTTCTGTTATTTAACTCATATACTGATAACACATCCTCAACTAAGTGTACACAACTGGAAGACAAAAATTCTCAGACTTCTTCATAGATTCACATAACTATTAACATAATAAGGACTCAAACATTTCTTAACTGAATGCAGAAGAAATACTCTCTAGGAGAAACCCATCTTCCAAAAAATGCACTTCTGACAAGGCAATATCATGGTTTATGTCTCCTTTGCCTGTAAGCATTTATAGAATACTGAGTGTACTCTGGGTGTTGAAACAAACTTTATCTTACATAACCTTCACAATATCTGTCAAACCAGACATACTAATCTATTTTACAGATTTTAAAAAGCAAAGCACAAAGGAATATTTGCCAGTCTCTCCCAGTTAAAAAAAATAGAATATGACTTCAAATCCAAATCTAATGACACCTGTGGTGGACACTGTGATCTGACGCTCCCCCTCCCCATCTAACCTTCTAAAAGCAATACACAGAGGGGCGCCTGGGTGGCT